CTTCCTCTCTTTCTTTCTTTCTTTCTTTCTTTCTTTCTTTCTTTCTTTCTTTCTTTCTTTCTTTCTTTCTTTCTTTCTTCTTTCTTTCTTTCTTCTCTTTCTTCTTTCTCTCTCTTTCTTTTTTATTTTCTTGTTTCTTTCTCTTTTTCCCTCCCCTTTCCTTTCTTTCTCTCTTTCTTTTTTCTCTCATTATTTCTTTTTCCTTTTCTTTCTTTTCCCCCCATTTTTTTCCATAGGGTGCATGAACTCGATGGAGAGACAGAGACAGTGAGAAAGAGAGAAATCACCCCCAATCACCCACACTGTGATCCTTTCTCCTCTATTCTTTTTTTTCCCATTTATTTATTTAATTTTACATTTTATCACATGTCTTCACAGTATACATTTTTCCAGCACAAATACCATGCATGTCAGTCAAGACAAGGATATTACTATATACATTATCATCAGCAAATAACTTCTCACTTTCTTTTTAATCAGTTAAGCTTACTTTTACCAGTGTTTTCCTTCCCCTTTCCCCTCCTTCCCTTCCATACTAAACTTTTTTTTTCTTCGCATTTTGTTGATTCAGAAAATATCTTAAAGTATGGACAAAGCTAGAATCTAGCCACAAGTGCACTGTAATTTTCTTATGAAACAATTTTTTTTCTCTCCATTCCCCCTTTTACAAAAGAAAAGTATAACCTAACTCATTTGCAAAAACTTAGGGTAATCTCAATTTGATCTGTTATTTGCACAAAGCCCCACTAGAATTCAATTTCCAATGCAAGGCAATAGATACTATTGTATTATTGAACTTATGCAAATAACCATTCTGCCACAAAATAAGGATGCTCACAAATATTTTCCAATTGCAAAGGGGTCAGGAAGGGAGAAAAGTCTATGTTTCAATTAAAAAATTCTTTCTTTTTCTTTTTTTTTTTTTGTTTTTTAACAAATTGCCAAACCCAATAACTCAAAAGAAAACAAAACCCCTTAAATCTGGAAGACAATGCATAGAAGCAAATCAGTAATGTTTTAGAAAGAAAATCATAGAGAGAAGACTCCTCCATTACTGCTGAGAACTAGTCATTTCAGGGTAAAAGAGAAATGAAGATATTCTACTGATAATTCAGTCTCCAGCCTCCAGTCTCAAGTGGAGAGGCAAGGGGCAGGTCTTTGGAAGAAGACTCCTCCATTGCTACTGAGAACTAGTAATTTCAGGGAAAAAGAAAATTCAGTCTCCAGTCCCCAGTCTCAAGTGGTAGGGAGCCCCTTTATCCTTCTCTCTGTCTCTCTCTGCCTCTCTCTGTCTTCTCATTTTTTAGTAATTTTTCTTAAAATAATTTTTTAAAGGTAAAAAATTCTATTGGCTTCCAGACCCTCCTTTATCTTGCTAATAATTCCCTTTCCCCTTCCCTTCTAGGAGAGGCAAGGGGCAGGCCTTCCTCTGAAGACTCCTCCATTACTGCTAAGAACTATTTATTTTGTATAGCACGAGTGTGCCACATGGTTTTTCTTTTTTTCTTTTTCCTTTTTTTTGGAGAGGTTTTTACTATAGGGCATGTGCGCTCACCAGAAAGACAGAGAGAGACAGAGAGACAGAAAGTGAGAAATCACTCTCCCGGGGGGATGGCCATACCACGATCCCTTGTCCTCCATTCTCCTCTTGGGATCTTGGGCATGCATGCACATGTGCCTGGCATGAGTTTAAGCCACTGGGTCTGGGACTCGAACTGCGGTCGACTACATGGGAGTCCAGTAACACAGCCATTATGTCAACTGCTGGTCTCATTTTTCTTTCTTTTTTTTAAAAATATATATTTTCATTGTTTTTCCCTCTCTCTCTCTCTCTCTCTCTTTGTTTTCTTATTTTTTTCTTCTACCTCATCACTTTTCTCCTCAATCTTTATTAAATGAGTGTCTAGATGGATCTAAGGGAACCATAGTCAAACATCAAATACTATTAGGGTTAACATATTCCTCAATACCCACTGAATCTGCTGCACAAAGGGATAAAAATGTGACTTCAATGAGATTGCAGATCACCTCCTCCTGCATGCTCCTGAATGCTCAGATTGAACTTCAAGAATTGAGAAGAAATACACCATCCACACTAGAAACCACCACAGGGTCACAAGAAATATGGGAAAGCAAGAAAATACCTGTCTTCCAAGGGAAAAGAATATCTCTTCTTCATCCACAGACAGTTCAATGGAAATAATAGAAATGTCTGATAAAGAATTTAGAATATTCATAATGATGATGCTAACAGAGATGGAAGAGAAGAGAAACAATGAACTGTGAAAGAGGAAGGAGAAAGGAGCTGACAAGTTCCAGGAGGTCAGGAAATTCTTGTAAGATCTAAAAAAGGAATTATACACTTTAAGAAACAAATAGACCTGTTAGAGATGAAGGTGATAATAAAATACAGGATACAGGAAATCAAAACCTCCCTTGAAAGTATTTAAAGAGGCTAGATCATACAGAAGATTAAATCTCAGATGAAGAAAACAGAATCACTGATCTAAAAAAATCCACCACAAAGAATGAGAAAATAGTCCAAAAAATGAGAATAATATACAAGAGATACTAGATACCATCAAATGTCTAAACATCTGGATAATTTGTAACCTAGAAGGTGAAGAGATTCATAAGGGCATTGTTAATCTATTCCATGAAATCCTGCAAGAAATCTTTTCAAATCTAGAGAGGCATTCAAAGATCCAGATCCAAGAAATACATAAGACCCCAAATAGAATCAACTCAAGAAGATCTTCTCCAAGACGCATTATAGCCAGATTGCCCCAGACCACAGACAAAGACGAGGTCTTCAGACTGGCAAGAGAGAAATGACACGTTACCTACAAAGGATATCCCATAAGGATAACAGTGGACCTCTCATCAGAAACAATTCAAGCAAGGAAAGAATGGGAAAACATATTCATAGTGTTGAGTGAAAAGCAATTTCAACCCAGAATACTATACATGGCAAGATTATTCTTCATATGGGAAGAGAAGACAAGAACCTTCTCAGATAAACAAAACCTGAAAGAATTTACCGACTCCAGACCAGTTCTCCAAGAAGTTCTGAAGGGTGTGCTCATGGATAATGTGCATTATGAAAGAACTATGGGGCTGACTCCATGGCTTGGTGGTTGAGGCAGTTGAATCCACCATGACCAACTCCATGATTTAAATCCTGGCCCTGGTGGCTTGACAAACACGCCAGACATGTGTGCATGTGTGTGTGTGTGCCCAAAATCCAGAAGAAAGGGAAAGATGGAGAAGGGATTTCAGCATGACCATACCCCATGTGGAGGGTGCTTTCTTTCTCTGTCACTGGTTGGAGCCTATGAGATCGCTAGCAAAAATGAAAAAGAAAAAACTATGCATGGATGTCAATGTATACAAGTTGGAACATTCACTTTGTAAGCTAAGTAACACATGTGATCGAATGTATAAAAGAAATTGAAATAAAAAATTCAAAAAATCTTTTTGCATCAAATAAGCTCATACTTTAATTCCATTTTCCCTTGAAAAATTTCTCTCCATTTTAAATTTTTTTCATGAAGCAAAAAAATCACAGAATGTTTTTCTTCCCCCCAGCAGATAATTCTACATTCTTTTGTCTGTTGAATGTTTCTTCCCTTTGCTTCTCTGCCCATCCCATATCACCCACTCTCTGCCACTCACTCTCTTCCCTTACAGCATCAGGTATCTACATTTATATTTCATGAACTTTTTAAAAGGAGGTTTTTTCCTTTGAGCATGTGTACTTGTGTGTGTGTGTGTGTGTGTGTGAGAGAGAGAGAGAGAGAGAGAGAGAGAGAGGAATCATCTCTCAGGGGAGACGTGGGGGATTGCTATACTGTAATCCCTTCTCCCAGAATCTTAGAATCTTAGGCACACATGTACATGTGCCTGGCATGATTTTCAAACCACTGAGTCCAGAACTCAAACCATGATTGGCCATGTGGAAGTCCAGTAATGAAACTACTATACCATTTGCTAACCCCTTTCATGAACTTTTTGAAGTCCTCTTGTACAGTATGGGGTTGTAACAAGAGAATTTGTTTTCTAGTTGACTTGGGCAATGTGCAATTGGCAGTTTCCTTTCCTAACCTCCCTCTGAAACCCAAATTATTTTTTTAGGACTGCAATGCAGCATTGCTCCAGGAGCCCGGCATCCCTTGGGGCAGAACAGGGGTCCTTAGGACAGTCTGTACCTTGGATTTGGTTTGGTTGATGGCTGTGAGGAAGAGGAGGTGGGCCAGGAAGAGGCAGAGTGAGAGCTGCAGGTGCAGGGAGGTGCTGGTGTTCTGGATGGCTCTGCACAGGAGGAAGGTGAGGGCTGCCAGGAGGAGGCACAGCAGAGACAGGCCCAATCCCATGTAGGTGATGATGATCAGCACAGGGTCCTCATCCTGGGACCCAGAAAAAGAAGAGGTCATTATCACACTTTTCTGCTTTCTGGGGTAATGATCTCTCCATCATTATTTTTATAATAAAGAATTATTTAATTTTATCACTATTTTAAGTTTTGCTATAGGGAATGTGTGCTTACTAGAGAGAGAGAGAGAAAGAGAGAGAGAGAGAGAGAGAGAGAGAGAGATATAAGCTGCCAAGTCTGGGATTGAACCACAGTTGACCATGTGGGAGTATAGTGCATAACCACCATGCTACCTGCTGGTCCCCAATTTTTTATAAAGAATGACTTTTAAAAATTAATTTTATGGGAACCAGCAGTTAGCGTAATGGCTATGTCGCTGGACTCCCACGTAGTCGACCGTGGTTCGTGTCCCGGACCCGGTGGCTTAAAACTCACGCCAGGCGCGTGTGCGTGAGTGCCCAAGATCCCGAGAGGAGAATGGAGGAGAAGGGATCGCGGCGTGACCATCCCCTCTGGGGGGTGATTTCTCGCTTTCTGTCTCTATGTCTCTCTCTGTCTGGCGAGCGTACGCGCCCTACAGTGAAAATCTCTCAAAAAAATTAATTTTATTTGTTATCATTATTATATTAAAATTTGCTATAGGACACGTGCATTCAAGAGAGAGAGAGAGAGAGAGAGAGAGAGAGAGAAAGTGAGAAGGCATGCTGTCTGTCAGCTCTGGGACTTAAGCCATGGTTAGCCATGTGGGAGTCCAGTGTCTTAAACACCATACCACCTGCTGGGTCCCCACCACTTTATTTATTTATTTATGGAGAGTTTTTTTCGCTATAGGGTGCGTGTGCTCACCAGACAGAGAGAGAGAGACAGGGAGACAGAAAGTGAGAAATCACCCCCCAGGGGGGATGGCCACGCCACAATCCCTTCTCCTCCGTTCTCCTCTCGGGATCTTGGGCACACACACACATGCGCCCGGCGTGAGGTTTAAGCCACCGGGTCTAGGACGTGAACCGCGGTTGACTACGTGGGAGTCCACTGATGTAGCCATTACGCTATCTACTGGTTCCCCCCACCACTTTATTTTTATGTTTTAGTCGTGTTAGGGAGTGTTTATGTGTGTATTAGAGAGATAGGTGCACCCTAGACAAGGTCTCATCATGCCATGATCCCCAAGCCTTTCAGCTTGTCAGGATTCTGGGAATACGTCTGAGACTGATGTGTTTTAGGATCTCAGACAACTTATTTTTCTTCTCCTTTCCCTTTCCTCCCTCATTTTCTTTTTCTCTTCCTCTCTACTGTTCTGTCTCTCTAATTCTCCAAATTGAAGAATGGAGAGGCAGGATCGGTAGGTGGTGTGGTGATTGAGGTGCTGGGCTTCTACACCGTTGACCCTGGCTTATGTGCTGGACCTGGCAGTTTGCTTTTGCACTCTCCGTTTGTTTGTCTGTCTCTCTCTGGTCAAATATGAAGAATAATGATAATAAGTAAAATTAAAAATAAATAAATCTTAAAAAACAAGAATGGAGGAGCAAGGTGTATTTTTGAATTTGATGGGTAAGTGACTCCAGGCTCAGAATTTTAGAGGATTCTGACCTGGTCAGCTTACCTACTGAAAGAGCTAAAGGATAAGTGAGTTCTTACTCAAGACAGCCTTGGAACTCATGAAGTTTCAAATCCTGTCCCCAGTAGCTCGAAAATCCCAACAGGATGGAGAAATGGAGAAGGGATTGTGGTATGACCATGTCTCACTAGGGGGTGCTGCTTCCGTCTGCCTCTGGCAAGCATCCATGCCCTCTGGCAATTAAAAAAATTCTTCCAGGGACCAGCAGATGGCAGGACACCCACATGGCCACCCGCGGTTCGAGTCCTGGACCTGGTGGCTTGAAACTTACACCAGGTGCATATGCGTGCATGTCCCCAATCTCAAGAGGAAAATGGAGGAGAAGGGATTGTGGCATGGGCATCCCCATGGGGGAGGGTCACTTTCCCTTCCCCTCTCTGTCTTTCCTCTCTCTCCAGCAAGTGCGTGTGCCATATGGCAATAACTGCTAAAAACAAAATGAAACAAAACACCAAACTTCCATTAGGGAGAGAGACAGAGAGATAGAGAGACAGTCCTCCCAAAGGGATCTTGATACCACAATCCATTCCCAGTCTCATCCAGCCCTGGATCATGGGCACCCACATGTCTGGTGTAGTCAGGGAGGTTTCTGGTTGTGATCCTGAAACCTTACCAGGTGGGTGGTGTTTTATCACTGGGCTACCATCCAGCCCCACGCCCTTTTAAGCTTCTTACGTGTGGGCATTTTTTTACGTAGATGGACATTGAATGCAGCCCCTCTCAGGGCTCTCACCTGCACGTCATTATGGGCCATGAGGACAGCAAAGCTGCTGAGGTGGGTGCAGCGGCAGGTGGTGCTGTCCTCCTTGGTAGTCACCATCCTGCAGCCTGTGGTGGACCAGTGACCACATCCATCCCCTCCATGGTCCCAGAAGACACAGAGCACTTTTGCTCTTGGCCTAGAGCTCAGCGTCTATAGGAACAGGGTACAGGCATGAGTTGGTGCATCCGGTGCTCAGAGATGCAGACCCAGAGCTGGCTTGGGAAGGGGTGACTTCCTTGGGGAGAGGATGCACCATGAGGGCTTCCCTAAACCCCAAGTCGGAGCTGAGCTGCAGGGCTGTGCTCAGGACTCAGGTGCCTTCCACACCCAGAGCCCACCCCCAACACTCACACGGTGGGAGAAGGTGAAGGTGACCGGGGAGCTGAGGTTCTGGGCATTCTTGGTGCTCAGAAAAGCAGAGACGATGTCTGAGAGCAGGACAGGGGGGACTCCTTGTGGCACATCACTGGAATTCTGATTCAGAGCTGCCTGATTCTCAGGTTTTGGGTCCAGAGGGGCTTCAGCCAGCAACTTGCCCATTCCTGGAGTGTAGACAAGGCCCACCGCAGAGGAGCCTGTGGGTTGGCAGCAAAGTTGAATTTTGTGTCCTCACTAGGGTCTTTTCCTTAGATGGGTTTTTCCCTTGCAGCCCATCACACCCTACACATATCTCTATTTTTCATATCCTTGGGCATCTTGACCCACCAAGAGGTCTGATCTGTGTTTTCAGCCATTACCTGTGTTGTCAGAGTTCTGTCCCAGATCCCAGTTCAGCTGCATCTTTGCCTGATTCAGGCTCAAAGTAACATTCCTTTCTTCTTGCTTCTGTACATCCAGGGACAGTGCTATGAGTTGCGGAAATTACATAAAGGGAGGTTGGTTAGAGATGGTGTGTGCAGTGTAGGTAATGCCATTATTATTATTATCATTTAGAAAACACTTTTAAAAGATTTATTTATTTATTTAATTTTAAAATGTGATCTGAGGGAGAGAGAGAGAGAGAGAGAGAGAGAGAGAGAGAGAGAGAGAAAGGGAAAGTGAGAAAGCAAGCCACCAGGTCTGGGACATGAACTGTAGTCAGTCATGTGGTCCAGAGCTTTAACCACTGTGCCATCTGCTGGCCTCATAATGCCACTATTTTATGTGTGTGTGTATTCAGTTTGCAAGCTAAGTGACACATGTGATTGAATGTATAAAAGAAATGGAAATTGGGACCAGCAGTTGGCATAATGACTATGTCGCTGGACTCCCATGTAGTCGACCACGGTTCTAGTCCCAGACCTGGTGGCTTGAATTCACTCCAGGCGCATGTGCATGCGTGCCCAAGATCCTGAGAGGAGAATGGAGGAGAAGAGATTGTGGTGTGGCCATTCCCCCTGGGGGGTGATTTCTCACTTTCTGTCTCTCTGTCTCTCTCCGTCTTTCTGGCAAGTGCACGCACTGTATAGCAAAAACCTCTCCAAAAAAAAAAATAAAAGAAATGGAAATAAAAAAAGTTTATGAAAAAATGGAATTAACTTATGAGTTTATTTTGGTGCAACTCCAAAAGAAAAAAAAATAAAAGAAATGGAAATAAATAAAGTTTATGAAAAAAGGGAATTAACTTATGAGTTTATTTTGGTGCAAACACATTTGAAATGTGTGCACATTGTTTTTTTTTCATAATATGCATTTCCTTGATCATATATATATATATATATATATATGTATATATATGCATGTATATATAGTCTGAAGTTACAGAAGATTATTAGAGAACAGGACAAACAATCATATGACAAATTAGGTAGCCTAGATGACATAAACAAATTCCTGGAGGCATATAAATCACCAAAACTCAAAGAGAAAGAAAAACTCTGAACAGACCTCTAATAGATAAGGAGATTGAACCCATAACCCAAAAGGTCTCCAAATGAACAGTCTAGACCAGATGACTTCACTGGTAAACTCTACCAAACATTTAGGGAAGCAAGAACATAAATATTTTGTAAATGCTTAAAAAACATATTTATGAGGCCAGTATTATTTTATAACAAAATCAGATGAAGATGTCTCAAAGAAAATTATGGACTAATGTTTTTTATAGACGTGTTTGCAAAAATCGTCAACAAAATACAAGGAATAAGAAATAACCCGCTGGGGGGATGGCCACACTGCAATCCTTTCTCCTTCATTCTCCTGTCAGGATTTTGGGCACACACACATATGTGCCTGGTGTGATTCTCAAGTCGACAGGTCCAGGATTTAAAGCTGGCTATGTGGCATCCAGCACTTTAACCTCCATGCCACCCTCTGGCCCTCCTTTTTAAAATTTTTTTATGTTTTGGGAATTTTGCTATAGGGCACAAATGCTTGCCAAAGAGACTGAGAGACAGAAAATGAGAAATCACTCCTCAGGAGGATGGCCATGCTATATTTCCTTCTCCTCCATTCTTCTCTTGAGATTTTGGGCATACTTGCATATACACCCAGCACTAGTTTCAAGCTGCCATGTCTAGAACTTGAACCAAGGTAGGCTACATGGGAATCCAGCACCTTAACCACTATGCTATATACTGGCTCCTTGGTCTGCCTTTGAATCTTTTATTTGAATGCATTTGTGAGAGTGACACTGAGATTCAAGTGTGGATGCTCTACTACAGTGGGAAGAGAAATACAGGAGGGAACAGACGGAGCCGAGACCAGGGCAGATCCAGGTACCTACCTGTGCCTGCAGAGTAATTGAGGGTCAATGTCCCATCAGGCAGGGCCTTGCTCAGGTCTCTCAGGACATTCTCCAGACCAATGAGCAGGTTACTGGCCACACAATGCTGTTGTGGGCGGGGCAGAATCTCCAGGTCCCCAGGAGTTCCCAGGAGCTCATCCACATTCTCCATGAGTTTCTGGAGGAATTGGAGATGTGAGCTAGTGAGTTATGGGCCAGAGGGGCTGCACAAAGACATCAATGGCTCAGCTCCAGAGAACAGACCCTGGAGATTATTTTGTGTGGGGGATAGTAGGTAGCATGGTTGTTAAGATGTTGGACTCCAATGTGGTTGACTGTGGTTTGAATTCTGGACCTGGTGGCTTGAAACTCATGCTGGGTGCGTGTGTGTGCATGCCCAAAATCCCAAGAAGAGAATGGAGGAGGAGAGATTGCAGTATAGTCACCCGCTAAGGGTGACTTTCTGACTCTTACTTTCTGTTTTTCTGTTCTTCCTTGTCTCACATGTACCCCATAGCAAAAATATCTCTCTCAAAAATATTATTTTGGCAATAAAAATATTACTAGATGAGAGTCCCTGGGTGGTCCTGGCCCCTGGAATATGGCTCCCTAGAAGCCAACCCTCTTAGGGCAGCTGCTGGGATGGAGTGGAAGTCACATAGAAAGGTCTTAGGTTCATGTCCCTAGGTTCATGTTTGGGTCTCCCTGTATATGTCTGGCCCATGTTACTGTGTCTATCCTGGCTGAGGCTGTGGGTTGTGTTGCATGAAGTCCATGTTGGGTGTCTAACAGTGAATAGAACTCCCAGAGTGCCATGGGGCAAGGCGGGGAGTCTGACCAGCACTCACACATCCCTGTATGGGATGCCTTCACCTTGCCTCCTCCAGGTTCTGCCCTTACCTCGATGGTTTTCTGGGCTGAAGCTGACTTGAAGTCTTTGCCCAGAGCCTGGAATTTGTCAAAGAATTCAGAGAGACTCTAAGAGAGAGGAGATGAGAGAGTGAGAGAGCCTTACTTAGGACTGAGGACAGAAGTCTGACTGCTTTTTCCTATTTTCAAACTCCCTTCCAGAGGGCATGGGATGAGTTGCACCCAAAAACATTTATAGACCATTTTGGCCCATTTGATAACAGGATTCATCTTAAATTCTGTCCCTGTCATCTTTATGATGGGTGAGTCATGCCTGCAAGCATTAACAGACCATTTGACTCATTGGTAATAGGACTCTACCAACATCTTGTGACATATACAAGTCGCCTTATCTCTGTGACAGTGCACTCTTTACTGATCCCCTCATGAAACACAGCTCTTCCTTTCCAAATCACCAAACTGAGAATTGTAAAACTCACCTATGAACTATAAACCCCCCACTTTCAGATGCCCCATCTTTTTGGGCCAGACCAGTGAAAATACTGTTTTCTCTAAATTCCAAACCTTACCACTCTCAGTATCTGATCACTCAGAGAAGGTCATGTTTACTTTTTCTCCGGGTCTGGTTACACATATTTGTGCTTAGAAATAAACCACATATTTCTGCAGAGTTGGCAATTTTCATCGACAGAACCAAGGAGCAGCCATGGCAAAACCATGTGGAAGGATTTCCTGCCACCTGCCACCTGCCCAGGGCTGGAGCCGCTTACCTGACTGTTGATTCCATGGGGCTGAGTCCAGTTGGGCAAGGAGATTGCTGCTGGGGACAGTTTAGTGGTTCGTTAGATGTGAGAGTCTGTGCGTTTGTGTTGTTGGGGAGGTTCTAAGGTCAGATGAGACCACGTACCTTCGCAGACCACGCTCGATTGGTTCACCGATTTCGTTTGGTTACTGCGGGCCGTTTGGTTATTCCAGGCCGTTTGGTAATTCAGGCTCCTGGTCTTCAGCTTCCACCCTTGACGACAGCGGCATCGATAGGAGCCCACGGTGTTGACGCAGACGGTGGACACGTGACACTGATGCTGCCCGGAGTGGCACTCGTCCACATCTGGGACACAAAGGAAGGAAGGGGTCAGGCCCTGGCCTAGCCCAGACCAGGGTCCCTCTCCCCACCTAGTCCTTGGAGAGGCAGACAGTGGCAATGGGAGTGTGGAGAGGCCTGACGTCTGCAGGTGAGCCCCGTATGGAAGTGCAGGTTGTGAAAACCCTGAGATACATTCTTTCCTTCCAGTGAACCTCCCCCTTGGATCCCCAGCTCCTTCCCTCCCCACCCCCCCCCATTATTTCAGTCTAGCTACAGAAGGGTTAACACTGGGTACAGCAGGGCGCCTCTGGCGTTCTTTCTGCTGGGTTAGCGAGGGCATCATTGCATGTGTGACCAGGCGTGTGTAACTGTGGGTCTCAAGGAATGTGGGGTCTGAGCTCTGTACCTTTGCAGATGGTGGTGTTTGGGCCGTTGGGTGACCCAGGAGCTGGCGTCCAGCCAGGGCGGCAGCGACACTCATAGCTACCCATGGTGTTGAGGCAGTGGGTGGTGCTGTGGCACGGGTTCTGTCCTGAGGTGCACTCGTTCGCATCTGGGGACAAAGACAGGAGATCAGGCCCTGCGTTGACTCAGTCCAGATGTCCCCTCCACTCGCTGTACCCATGTCCTTATCGTTCTACTGCCCCAAACCAGGGACCAGGACTGCGTGTGCCACCACCTGGTGACCTTCAACTCCACCTTCAGGACGCCTTTTGGTGGCCTCCCTGTAAGATGGGTTTGGCAGGAACCAGGATCCCCAGTTTATAGGAAGTGAAACCAAGAGGAAATCTGAGTTCTAGGGGCTGGACTTCCTGACCAAGGACTCTCATCTTTCCCCTCTTAGCCATAGCCAAGGTTCCACTCCTCAGAACTGGAAAGGGAGGTGCCTTCACTGCACATGACAGAACAGGAAGAGGAGAGACTGAGGGTCTCCATGAAGGATGGAGCAGGCTGTGTGCAAGGAGCTTTCCTCTCAGTGTCACCCCCCACTCCTGCTGTCCCTAGGAACCCAGTCTGTCTGTGCAACCTCTCAAAAAGATGCATCACATTATATATATATATATACACACACACACACATACATACATATATATACACACACATATATGTATATGTATTATATTTGTTTGTTTTACAGAGTGCTTTACTTACTTTTAAAGAACAAATAACCCCTTGGGACCAGCAGTTGGCATAATGGCTATGTCGCTGGACTCCCATGTAGTTAACTGCGGTTCAAGTCCCAGACCTGGTGGCTTAAACTCATGCTGGGGGCATGTGCGTGCGTGCCCAAGAATCTGAGAGGAGAATGGAGAAGAAGGGATTTCAGTGTGGCCATTCCCCCGGGGGGGGGGGTGGGGGTGATTTCTCGCTTTCTGTCTCTCTGTTTCTCTTTGTCTGTCTGGCGAGTGCACGTGCCCTATGACAAAAACCTCTCAAAACAACACCACCTCTTAAAAGAAAAAAAATAAAAGAACAAATCACCCTAACTTACATACACGTATATTTATATACACATATATACCTACACACATACACACACACACATTTGCCATAGGACACATGTGCTTGCTAGAGAGAGAGAGAGAGAGAGAGAAAGAGAAAGAAATCACCACCCAAAGAGGATGGCCATACCATGATCCTTTCTTCTTCATTATTCTTCTAGGATATTTGGCATGCATGCACACAGTGTATAATTTACATTTAACCACTTTACATCTTTATGGTGCACAGCGTGGTTTTTCCCAGCACGAATACAGTGCCTATCAATCACAACAAAGACTTTACCGTATACATTGTCATCAGCAAATAACTTCATTTTTGTGTCAATTAAATGTATTGTTTGTTCTTTTTCCCAGTTCTCCTCCCTCCCTCCCTTTATTGCCCACCACTATTACCCTCTCCTTCAAACGTTTTTGCTGCAAGGTGTGTATGCTCATCAGAGAGAGACAGAGAGAGAGAAAGTGAGAGATCCCCCTGCTGGGAGATGGTCATCCTGGAGTCCCTTCTCCTCCATTTTCCTCTCAAGATCTTGGGCATGCACATACATGCCTGGTGTGATTTTCAAATCACAGAATCTGGAACTGGAGCCACTCAGTCAGCCACGTGGGATCTGGCCACCTTAACCACCATGCCACCTGCTGGCCCTAATTTGCTAACTTTATGCAATGAACAGGTGTCAAAGCTGCAATATGGGCCCAAGCAGCTGGTCCCTGAGTCTGCCCTTGGCCTTCGTGTCACTCTGCCTCTTTGTGTGGGCGGGACAGGTACATTCACAGCTGTCCTGCTTCAGACCTGGGCACCAGACCTGTGGCCAGGGCCCTGCCCTCTGGATGCTGCAGGAACAGCTCTGATGAACCTCATAGCCTGGGGGATGGAGAACGTGAGATGGTTCTTACCTTGACACGTGTTCTCACTCTCATTCCTGAACGTTTTAGCCCCAGAACTGAGCCCATAGCCTGGGTTGCACATGCAGTAGAAGCTGCCCTCCGTGTTCACGCAGTCTGCGATTTTGCCACAGGGTGGCGCCATGGGTGGTGCACACTCATTGATGTCTGGAACACAACAGGGCAAAGGTCATCTCCCAAAGGTATGAGCTCTCTCAGGGCAGACTCTGCTTTCCAACCTGACCCCACCGTGAGACATTGACATTGATGCTGCCCAGAGCAGCATTCATCCACATCTGGGACACAAAAGAAGCTAGCCCAGACCAGGGTCCCTCTCTCCACCTGGTCTTTGGGGAGGCAGACAGTGGTGATGGGCGTGTGGAGAGGCCTGACGTCTGCAGGTGAGCTCCGTATGGAAGTGCGGGTCATGACTGAGATAGGTTCTTTCCTCCCAGTTGGTCACAAGGAGCTGTCTGGGGTCCCCCTGAGTCTCCCCCTTGAGCCCCCAGCTCCTTCCCTGGCCCTCTCCCCTGCATTGGTTCAGTTAGCACAGAGGGCACCTCCAGTGTTTGTTCTGCTTGGTTAGTGCGGGCGCCATTGTGTGTGTGACTGTGGGTCTCCGGGAACATGGGGTCTGAGGTCCGTACCTTCATAGATGGTCGTGTTTGGGCCATTGGGCGACCCAGGAGCCGGCGTCCCTCCACTCACCGTACATCTTTATCTTAACTAAGCTCCCTGGTGACACTCTGGGGCTGGGTAGTCCCAGAAATCCTGCCCGTCTCTCTGCTCATCTCTTCTGTCTGACTGGGGCTGAGGACAACTAGATGCAGACAAATGCACTGTGCTCAGATGAGGCTACGTGGGAAAATTGCCCTCACCTCCCTGGTTCTTCAAGGGTACACAGAATCAGTGCTATGGTTTATGTCTCCCCCACAAAAAATTTTTTTTGTGTGTGTGTTGAAAATGAGTTGCTAAACAAAACAAGACAAAACAAAACAAAAAACAAAATGAGTTGCTAGGAGGCCAGCAAGAGGCATAGTCATTAAAGCACTAGCCTCCCACTAAACTCCATGGTTTGAGTCCTAGACCTGGCAGCTTCAAAATCACAATGGGTACTACGTGTATGCATGTCCAAAGTCCTAAGAGGAGAATGGAGCAGAAGGGAGTGCAGTGTGGCCATCCTTTCTGAGGGGTGATTTTTCACTTTTCTCTTTCTCTGGTGAATGCACATGCCCTATAGCAAAAATCTCTAAAAAAAAAAAAAAGTAGGTTCGTATGATTGTGATGGTATTAAGAGGGTGGAAACCTAATATGATTATGGAGCCTATAGGATATAGTTAGGGTGGGCCCCCATGATTGACTATTGTTAACTTTATTTATTTATTTTTTTAGAAAGATTTTTTTCTATCAGGTGGATGCATTTGCTGGAGATACTGAGAGAGACAGTCAGAAGGAAATTGAGACATCATCTCCTAGAGGAAAACGCCATTCTGTAATCCCTTCTCCTTCATTCTCCTCTTGGAATTTTAGGCACATATGCACACATACTCAGTGTGAGTTTCAAGCCTCCAGGTCTGGGACTCAAATCACGATTGGCTATGTGACAGTCCGGCACTCTCATTCTCAGTCCTCATTGTCATGAATACATGCACATGCTCTATCATAAATAAAGAAAAAAGAAATATCTTGTAGAAATATCTGCAAGGTAATGGATGGGCTGGTCAGAGACTCCAAAATCTTGGTTTTTATTATTTTTTTTTCTGATAAAATTTTCTTTTCGCTAAATATGAAATAGCACATGGACTCTTAGAAAACAAAGAAAATACATAAAAAAAGAAAGCAAGCAAATTTAAAAATTCTGTAATCCCACTACACAGACTATGTGAAAATATGGGACATGCATTTCCTTAGCATTTCACACATATTAGGAAAATTATCCTTTGTCAAAAATAGCTGACTTTTTTTTGGTAGATGAAAAATAGTTCTTTTCATGAAAGTAATTACATTTCTTTTCTTTATTTTAAAATTTTTTTAGGTTTGTGCCATAGGGTGGATGTGTTCACTGAAGAAAGACAGACAGGGAAAGTTAGAAATAACCCACTGGGGGCGGGGGTGGCCATACTGCAATTCCTTCTCTTCAATTCTCTTCTCGGGATTTTGGACATGCAGGCATAAGTGTTCAGTGTGATTTTCAAGCTGCTAGGACCAGGACTTGAACTGCAGTTGGCCATGTGGGAGTCCAACAATGTAACTGCTATACCATCTGCTGGCCTGTCAACACCATACCTATTAATCATGAAAACCTAATTGTTCATTTCCTTCACTTCCTGTCTCCTCTCTCTTATCCTTTTTATTTAAAAACAAAACAAAACATTTATTTATTTATTTGTTGTGATCTTCAAGTCACTAGGTCCAGGATTTGAACCACAGTTAGCCACATGGGAATCCAGCACTTTAACCACCACACCACCTGTTGGCCCTTGCTTATTCTTTATAAAAAATGTGTATTTAGGGACCAACAGATGGCATAATAGTTACATTGCTGGACTCCCACATATATGACCATGGTTCAAGTTCCTGACCTGGGAGTTTAAAACTCATGCTGGGCACATGTGCGTGTGCCTGTGTGTGTCCAAAATCTTGAGAGGAGAATGGAGGAGAAGGGATTGCGGTGTGGCCATCCCTCCCTGGGGGGTGATTTCTCACTTTCTGTATCTCTCTGTCTCTCCGCTGAGCACACATGCTCTATAGCAAAACAAAACAAAACAAAACAAAACAAAACAAAACAAAACTCTCACTAAAAAATCCCCAAAAAACCAAAAAACCAAAAAAAAAAACCCATGATTTATTTCACCCAGGAGAGAGAGAGATAGATATGGAAAAAGAGAGAGACACTCACACATGCACAGAGAAATAGGCATCCCAAACAGGGTCTTCACACTGCAATTATCTCTAGTTTCAGCCAGTCCATGCCTAACATGTACAGGGAGGGCATAGACTGCGAACATGGGACCTTCCCATATGACTTCAGCATCATGATTATCACATTATCCATGCACCCCAACCGACCCCCCTCTTGGGTTGAGGGCTCCAAATGCCCCATGATCTCGCCTACAATCTCCAGCATGCCCCTGCATGCCCCCCACAACTCTGTACCATCACAACTCTCCAAGACGTTGGTAAAAATCTCTCCAGAGGTTGAACTGAATCCCGGATCGCAGCGACAGGTGATGGCATTGATGCATGAGGACCTTCGCGGGCACCACGGGGCACAGCCTGTGGGGATGGAAACCATGGTGAGGAGGTCAAAGGAGTGGAAGATGCCAGCTTTCAGCTAGGAACCCAAGAGGGGAGGAGGGGAGAGGTGAGAAGGGATGGCTGCCATCCAAGAGGGAAAATTCAGGAGCCTGGGCATGAGGAGAGAAGAGACACCTTCTGTTATGTCCAGAAGAAGACCATCTCCTAACGTCACATGTAGAATAAGCCTCCTTGCCCTTTGATGAGGAGACCCAATAATGCACTCCCCAGCGTATGTCAGAGTGGTCCTGGCCGGGCAGACTCACCTGGAGCGCTCTGGGCTGAAGGTCCCAATGCCAACACCAGTAGAGCAGAGAGCCCTGGGGGCAGAAAGATGGAGAGGTGATAGAGGAAAATCAAGTCTTTCCTTCCTTCCTTCTCTCTTTCCTTTTCTTTCTTCTTTCTTTCTCTCTCTCTTTCTTTCTCTTCCTTCTTTCCTTCCTTTCTCTTCCTTCCTTCTTTCCCAAGAGGAGAATGGAGGAGAGGATTTGCAGCATGACCATCTCCCCTGGGAACTGATTTCCCACTTTTCCTCTCTCTGACTGTCTCTCCTATGAGTGCATGCACCCTATGGTGAAAATGTAAAAAAAAAAAAAGAGAGAGAGAGAAAAATTCTTGTTAAGCTTTTGAGTTTGTCCTAGCAGTAAATTTTTATCAACTTTCTTGTTTTGGACCTTAATATAAATGAGCTAACATCCTTCCCCCCAATTTCCCCCCTGCTTTCTTATACAGACAAGGAGAAAGAAATCAGACATCAAGTAAAGGATTGAGAAGATTCTCAAACTAGGTATTTAGCTCCCAGACATATTTGTCTATTGTTAATATCATAATTTGACCTACCTGGCAGCAAACTTAAACGTCTATTTCTCATGGTGCAGGTGTCCACAAGCCCAGCCATGGGAGACGTTCATGCCCAGTGTGCTGTGAGTTAGAATCACTTCCTTTTTATCTGTGGCTGACGTCTAAGATAAGTGGAATTGGGCAACCGTCAGTCTGCATGCCTTCTTCCCCTAATCTCTTCTATGATTTCTCAGAAACTCATGGTTCTATTTTTCTCTCTTAGGAGGAAGAGTGGGAGAGAAAGAAGCAGGTATATATATATTTTCTTTCTTTATCCATGAAGGAGTGCACGCACATACACCAGAGGGAAAAAGAGAGTACGAGAGAGATGAACACTCTCCATAGGGTCTTGGCCATGCTGTGATTCCCTTCTTCAAGCCCTCCAGCTCATTGGATCTTGTGCGTTTGCATATGTACTTTGCATGTGCCAGGCTGACCAGGCTAGCGATTTAAAGCATAGTCAGCACGTGGCTTGTAGCAAAGTCTGGCATGCTTCCCACCGTGACGCAGAGGAGGAAGCATGGTTCTACTTTTAAATGTTTGTTACTGTTGCTCTTAATTGCGAAAACCTCAAGAGTAATTCTTGATTTTTTTTTACTTTTGCTATAGGGCATGCATCATGCTTTCCTGAAAAAGAGAGGGAGAGAGAGAGAGAGAGAGAGAGAGAGAGAGAGA